TCTCTCTCTGTCTTTCTGGCGAGCACATGCACCTTATAGCAAAAACCTCTCCAAAAAATAAATAAATAAATAAACTTGAATCTTAAGATAAAATCAGTTCCATGAGGCTAGATCCTTGTTTCTGGTTTGCTCCCTGACATGACAAGCACATAGAAGGTGTCCAATTAATGTGACTGGATGTCTGAAAAGGTGACACGCAGTTGTACACTGTCCAGTGCTTTCACAGCATGACCATCACAGTTCTTTAATGGGCTATGTCTTCACTTGCTGGCATCTTCTCCACTAGCTTTGATGCTAACTCAGTAATTCTGCTACAAGCAGACTTCCTACATTAACTTCTCCTAGGTATTAAAAAGTTATCTTGGGACCAATACATGGCATAATGGTTACATCACTAGACTCCTACGGTTTGAGTTCCAGACCTGGTGGCTTAAAACATGCCAGGTGTGTGTGTGTGTGTGTGTGTGTGTGTGTGTGCATACCCAAAGCCCTGAGAGGAGAATGAAGGAGAAAGGACTATGGCATGGACATCCCCCCTGGGGGGGTGATTTCTTGTTTTCTGTCTCTCCCGTGAACACAGACAGGAACCCTATAGCAAAAATCTCTCTGAAAAAAAAAATGTCATCTCTTCCTTGCGTATAGGTGATAAGGAGAATACATTGCAACTGAAATTTCTTACACGTTTCAGCAGACAAGGAATTCTGTGTGTGTGTGCACATGAGTGCTGGCAAAGCATATGACAGATTGTGGGGTAATACCTGATAAATTAGCTCTCAAGGTGAGTATAAAATGCCTGTAACAACTTATGGTAATACTATATCCCTATAGGAATTCTTTTAAGGAGAGTTAAAAATGCCTTACGGGTTTTACTTAATTAATCTTCATAGTAATCCTGGGAGTTAGGGCAAGCAGGTATTATGATTAGTTCCATTTCACAGGATAGAAGGCAAAGAAAAAATGGCTCAATCAAAACTTTACTGTGGGTTCCAACAAAACACCAGACAGGGCCGGCGAGGTAGTACAGTGTGTAAGGCTGTCGGATCCCACATGGCTGACTGCCTGAACGGAGTCCCAGACTGGTGACCTGAAAAATATGTGCACGCACAAGTGTATGCAATCCCAAGGGGAGAATGGAGAAGGGATGTGGCCATCCCCCCTGTGTAGGGGAGTTGCTTTCTTAGTTTCTCTCTCTCCCACTCTCCTTCTCCCTGTCTATCTCTGGACAGCGCATACACTCTATAGTAAATTTTATAAAAAGAAAAAGAACCAGGTATTTTGAAATTATAGACTCCAAGCCTAAGGTACTTCCCATACATTTGAAAGTTTGGCTTCAAACAATCATTCTAAATAGAAATTGACGCCTTCAAAGCTTTATCAGGTATGATTACTCTGCCTAACCTCTTATTTTCCGTTTTCCACCAGCTACTCTTCCTTCTATTCTAGCCAAGATGATTTTCTATTGCTTACTTAGACCCAATACTGCACTTCATTCTTTCTAAGATAAATTCAAGCTGTTCTACACATTGTATTTTAAACAGTTACCCCTCCTACATATCTCTGAATTCTATTTGTATCACTTACACAACTTTATTTTTTTTTCTTTTTTTGGAAAGGTTTTTGCTATAGGGTGCATGCGCTCGCCAGACAGAGACAGACAGAGAAACAGAAAGTGAGAAATCACCCCCCCCCAGAGGGGATGGCCACACTGCAATCCCTTCTCCTCCATTCTCCTCTCGGGATCTTGGGCACACACGCACATGCGCCAGGCTTGAGTCTAAGTCACCGGGTCCAGGACTCGAACCACGGTCGACTACATGGGAGTTCAGCAACATAGCCATTACGCTATCTGCTGGTCCCCACAACTTTATTTTTAAAATTTAATTTAACTTTACATTTTTATTAAACTAAGCAATAACTAAAAGATTTTTAGTCGTGGAGATTACTTTTATAATTCTAGATCAAATAGTTACACTTCACTGTATTTTCATCTTAGGAAACTCCCTGACAAGAAACCTTAGTATTTAACTTTCTAACTGCCTTCTTTTTGGTTCTCTCCAGAGTTTGATGTGAATATTATCACTTTAATTTATTTTGCTTTTTATTTCTGATTCTTTTAAAATTAAAAAAAGGGAATATATTCGCTTAAACCTATGGGTACTTTATTGAACAGACTGACTCTCACCTCCTCTTCAGCTCCCTGCTAACCTATTTTTGTCTGGCTCTTATATTTTATTAATTAAACTTCATTTGATTTCTGACTGAAATAAGTTGCTATAATCTCATATTCATTGGAAATACTCTTATTTCCTTTACTATTATAAGGCTATTTCCATTAAACTTCTGTGCTTATATTTTATAGGGTCTCACAGATCATTTTGAGTTAGGAACCATTACTTTATGCCTATCTTCCTCAAAATACTGATTTGTTTCTTTAATCAATAAAGACTGTTAAAAATATATCCCAAATAGTTTATGAATTTCAATATATCCTGGGTATAAAGAAAATAGACGAGTGATTATTTTCATGAAAAAAATAAACCAAAAACAAACTGTGTATCAAACTGAACCTTTTTTAAAAATTTTTTGAGATATTTTTGCTATAGGGTGCATGTATTCACCAGAGAGACAGAAAGACAGAAAGTAAGAAAACACTCCCATGGGTGATGGCCGTGCCACAATCCCTTCTCCTCCAGTTTCCTCTTGGGATTTTGGGCATGCAAGCACACGTACTCAGCATGAGGTTTAAGCTGCCAGGTCTGGGACTCGAACTATGGTAGATTACGTGGGAGTCCAGTGACGTAACCATTATGCCACGTGCTGGTCCCCAAACTCAACCTTTTTATTCATCAGACACAGTTATCACAATTGAAATTACAGAGCCATATTCTGGTCAGTAATAGCAACAAATAAAAATATGAACTAATAATGCTAAACTATTATGGTGGATTAATTTTTTTTTAAAAATCCAATATTTAATTTGTTGACTTTAAAAGTTAAAAATAATGCTAAGAGATGTCATGAGCAAAACAGCACCATAATCTAATCTGTTAGGAAAGATGCTCTCACAATGCATTCCTGGAATTCATATGAATGAAACTGTGCTGAAGGATCAAGTGCTCATTTTTATTCCAATGTTCACCTTTGGAACACGCCTGGGTTACCTACATCCAAGTAAGAGTTGGTCTGATTTACCATGAGGTACCAACCATGCATTACAAAGTGAGGGGCTAGATGGCAGCACTGCAGTAAAGGCTGACCCACATGGGAAGATCCTATTTCACATCTGGACACCTCCCTGAGCGTGCTGGGTAGGCATGTGCCCACGATCCAGGGTCGGCTGAATTGGGTGTAGATTGTGGTGTCAAGAACCTGTGATGGGGAACTCTCTCTCTTACATGTGAACTAAATAAGTACACTTAAAAAAAGTTAAAAAGTAAAATGATGCCTGACAATGCCATTGTGTCAAGAAGTAAAAAAAAAAAAAAAGAAAAGAAAAGTTGAAAAAATGAGCATGTAAAGAAACCAAGTGACACCTATTTTTTTTTTTTTTTAAGCTAAAGATGACCGCATTGCGAATAACCACAGGTACACCAACTGATATATATTTTTGCTGCAGGGAAGTGAATAGGATCAAAATAATAAAGTAAAATTGAATATATAATCCTGGTGGGGACACATCCTAAGAAATGCATGGTCAGGGCATTTCACTGCTATGCACGTGTGACAGGGTGCACTTACACAAACCGGGATAGTATAAAGTAGTATACAACTAGCCTATATGTTATCATGTGCTGCTCTTGGCTAGTACAACCTTGTACAGCACGTCCACACACTAAATACTGTGGGCAATTGTATCACCAAGGTAATTATTTATTTATCTAAACATAGGGAAGGTAAAGTGCAAATATAGGTTATAGAAGATTATATATATATGTGTGTGTATATATATATATATATATATATATATATATATATATATATATATATCCTCATAGGATTTATAAACAGAACTGGAAGGGGTGGAAGTTGCTAAGTTGCTTTGGGTGAATGCATATGAAAGCTCATACCAACATCACTATATATTATTATAGACATCATAAACACTGCAAACTTAGGCTATACTAGTTTTATGAAATAATATTTTTCTTTCTTCAACAATAAATTTACCTGGGGCCAGCAGGTACCGAGCTAGTTAAGGCACCAGACTCCAACATGGCCAACTACGGTTCAAGCCCTGGACCTAGTGGCTTGAAAATCATACCCGGTACATGTGGGTGCATTCCCAAAGTCCCAGGAGAAGAATGGAGAAGGGACTGCTGCATGCCCAACTCTCCTCAGGGTAGACTTCTCACTTTCTCCTGTCTTTCTCTGTCTCTCTTTGACAAGCACACACATCCTATGGCAAAAATCTTTAAAAAATCACATCTACAAATGTTTAGCAAAAGTGGTCCAATAACTAAACCATGAAACCAAGATTATGAAGACCCAGATCTTTTTATATCTCTATTTTAAAGAACAAAACATCTGGAATGCCATGTTTAGTGATTTTTCAAAACAAAGTTTGGAATTTTTTAGGTACTAGAGAGAGAAACAATTTCATATTTTTTACTATCGTCTTTCCACTAGCGAGTTGAAATGAGACTATTGTAAGAGCAGAGGTTGTTTTGAATAGAATTAATGAATTATAGGATCCAATCTGCACATCCATGACACAATCATGCAAAAGCTAATTATCTGTACATTGCATTTCTCACTCCGAGGTTCACAAAACCTCAAGATCTGCAAGTGACTTATTTTGTGTTCTTTGGGCTTATTCAGCCTACTTCTGTTACCCTCGACACACAAGAAGCACAGACATCTTAATGAGAAAAATTATACGTAAAGTTCGTTCATGAGCTGTAAATGGTGAAACTGCAGGACTAACAACGTGAGCAGAATATAAACGTCTGTATTCTTAAGCCCCAGAAAGAGCAAAGGAAAGGGATAAGGGACTGACTTACCTCCGGTGTGCCAAGAGCATGTTCTCCAGCTAATAGTAGCATGCTCAGGCCTCCCATTTGAGTAGGATCTAAAAAAGTAAAAAACGAATCATCAATTTTTAAGCATGAAGTACATATAATCCACACAAAGTCAAAAAGAATACTGATAAAGACTAGTAATCAGAAATCCAGCAGAGCCACATAAAACTTTTTATAAAAAAATTTTAAGACTATAAAACAGGGGCCAGCAGGTGGCATAGTGGTTAAGGTGCTGGACTACCACATGGCTGACCATGGGTCAAATCCCAGACCTGGGGGAACCAGCAGTTAGCGTAATGGCTATGTCGCTGGACTCCCACGTAGTTGACCGCGGTTCGCGTCCCGGACCCGGTGGCTTAAAACTCACGCCGGGCACGTGTGCGTGCGTGCCCAAGATCCCGAGAAGAGAATGGAGGAGAAGGGATTGCGGCGTGACCATCCCCTCTGGGGGGTGATTTCTCGCTTTCTGTCTCTATGTCTCTGTCTGTCTGTCTGGCGAGCACACGCGCCCTATAGCAAAAACCTCTCAAAAAAAAAAAAAAAAAAATCCCAGACCTGGCAGCTTACTTTCTCTTTCTCTCTTTCTTTCTCTGATGAATGCATGTGCCCTATAGTGAATTTTAAAATAATAATGACACACAAAAAAAAAACCCTATAAAATAATGAACTGGCATGTATGTGCTTAATGTTCATATTGTTGAGCTTTTAAAATGCCACTGTTGCTGGGACCAACAGATGGCATAATGGTTACATCGCTGGACTCCCACATCGTCGACCACAGTTCAAGTTCTGGACCTGGTGGCTTGAACCTCATGCCAGGCATATTAGCATGCATGCCCAACATCCTGAGAGGAGAACAGAGAAGGGATTGGGGCATGGGCATCCCCACTGAAGGGTGATTTCTCACTTTCTGTCTCTGTCTATTCTGCGAGCACACATGCCCTATAGTAAAAATCTCTCAAAAAGAACTAGGCTATTAAATAAATAGAGAACAGAGAGAAATCTTCCAAATGTGCCTGAAAAATCTAGTGAGTGTAGGGGCCAGCAGGGAGTGTAGTGGTTTAGGCACTAGACTCCCACATGGCGGACCATGGTTCAAATCCTGGCAGCTAGCTTTCTCGTCCCTGCACCCCCCGCCATTGCTCTGTGTTCAATTGAAAAAATAATAATGATGATGAATAAAATTACATAATTCTTTTTTAAAAAAATCTAGTGAGCTTGTTAAAATAATCTTTCCTAAACACTTTCGAAATAAGTTCAAATTAACTGATAATCTTTTGACATTTTAAATCTGAGGGGGAGGGGATAGTGAGGCTCTTGCTCAGAATAACTTCCAGATTTAAAATGAATACATTTTATGTTACTGTAGGTCTTTGTTTTCTTTCTTTCAATAATCAACAAAAATGGAAGGACAAAATAAAAATCATAAAGTGGTAGCTCTAGGATAAAGGTGATAGCAAAACAAGAAAATATTACAGACAGTAAGAAATGTATATTAAGCTTGTCTTAAGTAAATTAAAATTCAGAACTACAAGGAAAAAACATATGTGGAAATGCTTAGCTTATGCATACCATGTCCTCAATCAATGTGTGTTTAATTTTAGGATTCTCTCTATATTTGAAAATGAGAATCCATCATAATATTGCTCAAAGATATTCAGTTGCTTCTTTTTCTTTGGTTAAAGTTATGCTATTAAGTACAATTTTGTATGCAACCTCTCTTAGTAACTCATGAATCAATTACAGTCATACCTTATACACAAACTGTCTTTAAAAATTGCAAAAAAGGGGACCAGCAGGTGGTGCGGTGGTTAAGGTGCCGGATCCACACAGCCAACTACACAGATCGAGTTCCGGATGCAGCAGCTTGAAAGTCCTTCTGGGCACATAGGTGTGTCTGCCCAAAATCCTGAGAGGAGAGTGAAGGAGAAGGGACTGTGGCACAGTCATCCCCTCTGGGGAATGATTTCTCACTTTCCCTCTTTTCTTTCTCTGTCTCCCTGGCAAGCACATTGGCCCTATAGCAAAAGCCAAAAACAAAAACAAAACAAAACAAAAAACAGAAAGGTTCCTTTAGAGGCAGTTTTTTTAAAAAATAGCTTATTAGAAGGGGAAAAAAATGTCACCAGATTATCGAGTGATCAAGAAATAGCTCAATGTGAGAAGGCAGCCACATAGGAAGACATATATAGAATACATAGGCAAACACTAGCTGATTTGATGAAACAAAGCTCTTTCAGACTCCAACTTTAAATGGTAGGTTTAAGAACTACTATGACTATTAAAATAGACATTTTTATGTATTTACAAATAAAAATGGGAGGGGGGGGTAAATTTTAAAAAAGTAAAAGTTTAGTTGGCTCTTCAAGAGTGAAGTACTTTTGCAGCTGTTATCCTAGAGGTGAGGAGGATTGTGATAGCTTGCTAATAAAAATGTGATAGATCCAATTACAAAGTATAACAGGAATATGATTAAATGATAATTTAAATTATATAGCAATGTGGCTTTGCTAGAGGTTTGCTACATAATGGCCAAGAAATCACTATGCTTTGTATTAGTTTAAAGTGCCCTTTCTCTTGGCTAACAAGCCTTCTTTTGAATTACATTCTATACAGCTTTCTATTCAAATCATACAGTTAACAACTTCAGGGTTATTTAAAATTGCAAAATATCATGTGACGAGAACTACTGGTCATACAAAACAAAACAAAAAAGATTCCATGTTGAAGAAAACAATCTGATCTTCAAAAGCTTTCTAGTATCCCCTAGATTCAGACAGCTAAGGACTAAGTTCCCCCAGCCCAAGGGCGATTTTTGCTATAGGAGGACAGATAGAGAGAGGCAGAGAGAGAGCAAGCAAGAAATCACCCCCGTGGGGATGGCCACATCGCAATCCCTTCTCCTCCAGTCTCCCCTTGGTATTTTGTGCATGCACACACATGCACCCAGTGTGTGTTTGAAGTTGCCAGGTCCGGAACTTGAACTGTGGTCAACCTGTGGGAGTCCAGCGATGTAACCATTATGCCATCTGCTGGTACCCTAAGCACTAGGTTTTAAGTAAAGGCAAGTTAACATACTTTTATCTTGTTGAAAAGGGATACAACAAGAAATATCAGACCAATTTTATTCACTACATACAGGCTGGATTTCCAACATATACCTTAGCCATTATACAATGATAAAGAAGGTGTTTTCCTACTTTTCTATACTTAGCTTTAAAGAACACTGTTTTTAAAAGTTGACTTATCAATATTTTGGTTGAAATCTAAGATACACTTTCAATTTGTAAATAAAAGGAGATTAAGATCAAAAACAGTATTGTTCTAAAAAGATAACTTTCACAGCTTTCTGTAGTTTACCTATAATTATTATTTGGTTTATGATGAGCAGTTTTATATAATTATTGGCTCTTTACTTAATTCCTTTGATTTAGCATCCATTGTTTCTGTTTGAATTGAGAACAGAAACAATGGATGCTAAATCAAAGGAATTAAGTAAAGAGCCAATAATTTATATCTTTTTTTCAGTCCCAATAACAAAATGTTTTAGAAAATGCTCAGTTGATCTCTGGGAAGTTCAGAGAGCTAACTAGCAAGAATATCTAGTAATGAATAAGTTGAAGCTATTAACTGTACAAAGTGACAACTAAAACAAGGACAGATCTCTGTTTTGATTTTTTCTGGGGCATGCAGAAACGTCATTTGGAGAGCCCATCTAGACATACTACAAACATCAACGTAACTATCACCTGAATACTTTATTTCTGCAGAACGTTACCAATATGTTAGACTTTATTTATAGAGAACACCACCACATCTAATATATATATATATATATTTATTTTTATTTATTTTTTTTTTTTAAGAGAAACTTTTGCTACAGGGCACATGTGCTCACTGAATACACACAGACAGGGAGAGAAAGTGAGAAATCACCTCTGGGAAGACAGCCATGCTGCAATCCCTCCTTCTCTATTTTGTACTTGGGATTTTGGGCCTGTATACACACGCGCCTGGCATGAGTTTCAAGCTGCCAGGTCTGGGATGTGAACCGCAGTCGGCCATGCAGAAGTCCAGCGCCTTAACTACTATAGCAGCTGCTGACCCTTTCATCTATTTTTATTTTTTTTCAAAAGTGTGTTAGGCTGGCAGGAGTGGCACAGCAGTACTGTACATCTTGTGATGCTGGACCCATTTGGGAAGTCGATTTGTGTCCAGCAGTCTCCCTCTACATGCTAAGAATGTACACATGTGCTTCTACTCTGGGCTGGGTAGGCCTGGGATGGACTGTGGGGAGAAAACCCTGTGGGGGATACATGTCTTCTCCCCCGCCCCATCATTAAATAAATAAACAAAGCAAAATTAACTGAAATTTAATGTGATTTTGAAAGTTCATCACCATATTGTTCAACATCCTTTCTCAACCTTTCCATATTGCAAATGGTTTAGGACTTGATTTTGAGAGACACTGGCTTGTAATACTGGAATAGGAACCCTATTGCTCCATACCAACTGCACTGCTCCCATTCTGTCCAATCTCCCAAGTCCATCCTAGTCAATTCTTTTGATTGCTACATTACACTAGCCAGGGAAGACAGGGCTATTTGCAAACTGAATATAAATACTTTATTTCATGGTCAGGAGAGCTTTAGCATTCCTTGCCACCCAAAAAGTATTTATTATTAAAGGTCTTATAACAAATGGGGCCATCTGGAATTTTAAATTGGCCTGAACCACACAAGAATGAGAGGGGGAGGAGAGGAGGATGGGAATTCTCTTTAAAACACAGCTGTCAGATCCATCTCAGATTTGTGGAGTTGTTCGGATTCTTGCCCTCAATGTTTCAGATGCTCAATGACTACCTGAGTGTCATTTTTTAAGTATCCACAATAACTAGGGTGTTACTGAGCTAGCTTAACAGTGTGTATGTGTAAATGATTTGATGGTATTATAAAATTCCCTGAACTCCACATTGTAGTCTGCTTTTCTATATTGTTACCTTCAGGAATTCACACATATTTATAATGACTCTATCACTTGGTCTATATCTTCTTTCTTTAATTATATGTATTTCATTTATATGTATTATGTTCAAATGCTTTAAAGATATGCTATACATAAGAGGTCTTCAAAAAACTCATGGAAAATGCACACTATGAAAAAATTACGCACAGATTTTTGAACTTTTTTTTTTACAATATAAACTCATACTTTAGTTCAATTTATCCATAATTTTTATGAAGTCTCCTCACATCTACATATGCTACACCATGTCGTTGGAAAAGACATGACGTATTTTCTCATAGAAAAAAATACGTCATGACTTTTTTGACAACACAATATTTGCCACTGCATTACAGTGATTATAAATTTTGCTTCTCACCCTCCCTATCACGTATCATTTGCTGAATTACTACAGTGGGTGAAATGTGACGCTCTGAGAAGCAATCCCACATGGGAAGGTTCCCAGTTCAAATCTGGATATCTTACTAAAAATTCTGGACACACATCTGCCCATGACTCAGAGCTGGCTGGAGGGGAAAGGGAGATCATGGCGTCAGTATCCTGTTGGGGGTGCTGAGTCTGCCTGTCTCTTTCTCTTGAAAGAAATAAAGGAAGTGAAAACAAAACAAAACATACTGCCTACATGTGTTGCCCTGTCCTTAAAGAACAGGTAGAAAGAGCGTTTAAACTCACCAGCCATTCCAAAGTTAAGCTGAGGCATTTCTTCAGTCTTTGCTTTCTTGGGACTTGGTAAGTCTCTTGAAGAATCAGAAGGAAAGGCCCAAAGTTTCTTTCGTGGATTGACCGTGTGTGTTGGGGATTTCACAGGCTTGTTTGTGGTTGGACACCATTTGTAGCCAGGATTTGCTTTCATAAATGCATCTTTATACTATAAATAAAAGAACAGATAGAAGATTTTAATTAACATATAGATTGAAGAAGTTCTAATAGCCCTCACCAATTCTCTCATTTAAACAATGAGTAAGAAAAACAATTTCGGTGAACCTGTGGCTTTCCTCAGAGAAGAATGACGATCTCAGCACAGGGCTCTAGAGACGAGACATGGAGCATCCACCAGGAAGTCCGTTAGTGGAGTGACGGTACAGACGTTACACGTTTCAAATCTTTTAATCCTTCTACTCTTTGCTTTTAATTTTTTTAGTACCTAAAATGCTGTCTGACTGTGATGAGTAGAGGAAATGATGTGAAATAGAGAGAGCTGAAGGCTCTGGAGAGAGAAAAAGCAGGATTCAAACCCTATCATTGCCACTAAAAGCAAGGGTGACCCAGGACAGGGAACAGAACCTTTCTGGGTCTCAACCTTAGATTCCATAATCTGAGAATACTACCACAAATGCCTAGGGCTGCTGTAAACAGCCGTGCAAAGTACAACAGCTACTGCAAAGTAGGCTTCAGGTACATATTACAAAGTGTGAGTCAATACCAGGGTCAGCCATCAGATCTGCCCACTGCTTAATTTGATTTAAAAAATAAAATTTGTGCTTTGGGGTATTAATAAGGGGAATACAGGACAATTTAATAAAGTATTCTATTATGAGATATAGGACTTCAAGATCAAGAGTGGGATGAGGAAAATAAGATAGGCCACTAGACGAGTAACTTTTCAGTTATTTCAAGACGCTGGGCCATGAAGATCAAAGAATAATGTATACGGAGTCTAAGGACCTAAGTTCAAAAAGCATTTCTGTTTTAGTCAACTGTGAGCATTAAGCAAACTGTTTAATCTTCCCCAGCCTCAATTATTCCACCTATAAAGTATAACCGTACCTGCCACTGTCCCAAAGTTTTGTAACGAGCACACACGACTGAATCCATGAACAAGCTCTGAGAGCTTTGGTACGTGAGGTTACAATTAATCCATTACAAACATCATGTTTTTCTTGGAGGTTTCAATCTTCACCAATAACATCTTTCTTGCTCCTTCACTTTTCTGTGATTTTTCTATGACCCTTTCTCTCAATCTGATACCTCTTTCTTCTTTTGTGACAATAACATTAAACGTATTTATTACTATTCATTACTTATTGCCAAAAATCATGCTATCTCCTTTTCTCCTGATAAGATATAAATCTGCCTATTTTATATATAAGGGAGGTCAGTATAAAAAAACTGTAAGGCATTGTTGGTGGGAATGTAAATTAATAGAGTCATTAGGAAAGGTTCCTCCAAAAACAAAATATAAAACTTCCATATGACCCATTGACCCTACCACTAGCATATATCCAAAGGAAAGGAAATCAGTATACTGTAAATATATCTGCAACCCAATGTTTATTGCAGCACTATTCACAACAGCTAAGCTATGGAATCAAACTAAGTATCTATGAACAAATACATGCACACACACACACACACACACACACGTACACATACACAATGGAATACTATGCAGTTGCTGGAAAGAATGAGTTCCTGCCATTTGAGGTTACATGGGTAAGCCTGGGAAACATTACGTTACAGGAAATAAGCCAGGCACAGAAAGGAAACTACTGCACATTCTCTCTCGTACGTGGAAATGGACAAAGATGGCCTCACAGTAGAGTAGAAGAGGGATGAGGGTCATGGGAGATGTTAATAGAAAGAAAATTACAGATACATAAGAGGACAAATTTTCAGTGCTATAAAGTAGGGTGACTATAGTTAACAATTTACTGTGCATCTCAGAATAATTAAAAAAAGAGGATTTTGAATGTTTCCAGCACGAAGTAATGACACATGGCTGAGACGATGGATATACTGATTACCCTGATTTAGTTGTTATACATTGTATTCTTGTACTGAAAAATCACGTTGTATCCTCCAAATATGTGCTTGATTACATGTCAACTTAAAAACTCTTAATCCAATACATTCTCTTTGTTTACTTTACAAAATAAATACATAAATATGGATTCTGATTCTAACGTGATGCATTTGTATTTAAAAGATTATATACATATGTATCTATAATCAGAGGGCACTTATAGGACATCAACACCAATTTATGGATTTTCTGAAATGTTTTTATACACATCCAGGTAAATTGTGTCAGTAGAATTTCACAAAGACAGGAGTAAAAAGCAAAACCCACAACAACAAAAAACCTGTAAGAAACAGTTTCACTTGTCTCATCAAAATAATTAAAATGAGACACGAGGCCAGAGACAAGCCAGCATTGACTATCACATTAACAATGTATTTGGCAGTACCCGATGTGATAGAAGAGGTAACACGACCAAGTGCATCCAGGTGCACGGGGGATTTACATATTAGGCTGAGGCAGACAAACAGCCTTGCGTGCTGTCTGGAGGTGGAAAGTGACGAACGGCAGGGTGAGGTAAAAATGGCAGTAGCAGACACATGCATCATTGTTGTGTCCCAGTAAAAGGCACATAGGCTGGGTTTGTCAGATGAACAGTCACTTGGACAAAGGTCACCATTCTATAAAGTGACTGAAAAACTTTCAAACAAATTGATTAACACATTTGTCACGACAAATAAAATACTCCCTCTCTTTCTTGTAGTTTCACTTTTTTAAGAAGAAAGACACAGCTGTGAAAAAGGCTAGACAGATGTCCCCAGCACTCAATTTTGTTTCTCAAGTGTCCCCTTCCCTTCTCCTCTGGCTGACATCTGCTGGTTAAGTGCTTTCCCAGTAAGACAGTACATCCTTTGCTAAGAATCATATAGTTATCTGCTCCAGTGAAAATCAGTTAAGTGTAATGGAAATGACAATACTGTCATTAATGAATTATTGTCAGCATCAACTATTTTTAAGCCCTGATGATACGCCCACTAATTTATGAGAGGGAGCTGGCACCGAGAACACCATGAAGCAGTGACAATCACTGCAGCACAATCATTTCTCTTCCTCTTGCGTATATTCCACCCCAGCCCCATCTGAAATGCTCTAAGAGCACTGACTAGATGACAGACTTGTTAGACTCTAGAGATAGAAAAGAGCATGAAGTAGACAATCTCTCTGCCTTCCTGGGGCCTATACTCTACAACTCATCACACAAACACTATTTTTACACGTGGGCCATAAGATTTCCTCTACCTCATGCATGAACATGGTTTTGCGGTGGGTCTGAAAAGGGAGGAACTATCTATGAGTGGAATAATGAGGCAAGAGAAAGGTCTGGAATACACAGGGTTTTATGTAAAATGGTAACTGAGAACTATGAGGGTGAATACTCTTTAACTGTATTACAACAGTAACCTTGTGGATTCTTAAACTCGATATAAATGTTCAATACCACGACAATATTCGCTCGCTCGATCAAGTATACATTCAACAGAAGGTTAAGAACATGGGAGAGAGAGAACAGCATAACACATAGGTACTGCCCTCAAGGAGTTCAAAGCTTAGGTGGAGATGCCATAAATTCATATAAAACCACAAGTCAACACAAGCAGTGTGAGCATCGAGTGAAGGCAGAGGCAGGAAAAGCCTCAGGGTATGAGGATGTCTCTCTGTCCTTGGATCTTGGCACCTCATCAATCACTTACTCTGATTCAGCTATAAGAGAAAATGGAAAGGCTTAATCATTTGTTGTAATGAGGTTATTATAAGACGGATTACAAAGAAGGCTGGGAAGGGAAAAATAAACGAAGACTTTGTATATAGTCTAAAGCAAATAGCTGAGTGAAACTATTAGCATGCAGATCAACAATGGGGGCAAAGTCGACCATTACAGGACGGAAAGGGCCCAAGATACAGACCCATAAATCTAGATACCCAAGGCCAGTATGCTCTTTGCTGCAGGTCAACAGTAAGATGCTCAAGGACATGAAACAGGTTCTAAGAGTTTAATGAAAAATTCCTATAAATAGCTAAGCTCTTTCTAAAATACTGACTTTCAAAATTATCTCATTAAAATAAAGATTCTTCATTTCTTTCTTCAAATTTCCAATGAATCAGATAATCTAAGCGAACCCAACTCCACAGACCCAGTTCCTGACTTACATGAGAAACTCAATAAATAAATGTTATCTCCCTTCCCTCAAACCCAAACACCATCATGTGTCGTTAGTTATTCAGTATTGGCATTAAATACATACCCTTTGTGATAATATTTTGCATACTTCACATGTGACAATGGTATTGTTATGTAACAGAAGACAATACATTATGATGTCAATTTTTTAAACATGGGGTCTCAACATTACTTCATTTATAAAAATAAACATTTCACCCAAAAAGCCCCCAAATATTAATGAAAGATCTAATTACTAACTATTCTTAAATTGTTCTATTTTAATTCTATTCTTAAATTGTTCATATATTTTAATTAATATGTATTTCTAGCTAATAGATGTAGATTTGTTTCTAGATTTTCTCAACAGAGTGAAAGAAAAAGACAATCCTAACAAGATCCAGTAATAAAGACCCTGAGAATGTTTGTATAAATAGACAGATGACTCTGGTGCAAATACAGTCATGAGCCATTTAACCACGGGTATGTGTTCAGAGAAACGTCTTTGTGTTAAACAACATAGAACGTACTTACAAAACCTGGACAGTATAGCCTGCCTATACACCAGGCTATGTGGACTAGGTTATTGCTCCTGGCTACAAACCTCTACGCATTACTGTACTGTAGACTGTAGACAACTATACTACACTGGCATTTGTTTTCTCCTTATGCACTTCCTTCCTTTTATTTTTTATTTATTCAAAAAATGTTTTTAACATTTCCTTTCTATCATTGTACATCTCTATAGCTCACATTGTGGTTTTCCAAAGCATGTATAATAGTACATGCCAATCAAATCAAGGCTTTTAAATTGACATATAATAGTTGTCCATCGTCAAAGGCCATAGTTTTTCCAATAGATGTATAAAATGTGCAATGATCAGATCAGGGCAATGAACATACCCACTAT